AACAAAATTTTTTTAAAAATATAAGGAAATGCAAACAAACCTTTATTTATCTAGGGAAGCAATAAATCCTAGCAAAGCTAAATTACACAATGCTTACTTATTTATCCTGTAAGTGTACACTAAAGGTAATGGAAACCCAATAAAGAGTTTTTAAACAAGAGAATGTTGTGATTAGACATATATTTTACAATGTTTAGAGAGCAAATTAGAAAAGAGCAAAACTGAATTTGAGAGACCAAAGTTCAGAGAGGGACAACAGTGAAAATGAGACTCAAGAGATGTTTGGGAATCAAGAGATGGCTCTGAGGGATGACAGTGACTACCAGGTTTCTACTTTGTAAGGCTGAATGTATGGCAGGTCATTCACTAAACAGGGAATAAGAGAGATTTGGTGTTACTGTTATGATCATTTGAGAGAGGGATAAATGTGTCAGTCAGATTGGGTTTGAGACGTTTAAGTAAATGTCTGGTAGGCTGTTACACACACAAATTAGAAGATATACAAAGTGGAGGTTGAAGATATGCACATTTGGGAGTTATCTGTGAAACCAAAACGTAACCAAAAAGAACAGAAAGCACTGTACAAAAAAAGAGATGGAGTATTAAAATAGAAACAAGAAATTACTACAACTTTTAAAGAATACACAGAAAGAAATGAGCTGGTAAAGGAGATTGCAAAGTGGTCTTAGACTGGAGGTGGAATGTCACCAACACAAAGAAAAATGTCTCAAGGAGAACTTGGCCAATATTGAAGGCTGCTTTTCAAAGTAAAGTAAAATGAATAATGAAAAATGCTACTTAAATTTAGTGACATGGGGGTGTTATTAGGGACTTTAGTGAAAAGCAATCTGGTAACATGATGGGCAGAAGCCAGATTATAATGATCTAGATTCTGAGTGGGAAGTAAAGAAATTGAAGTAACTAGTTTGGTTCTGAAAAGGAGACAAGTTAAATCTACAACAGGAGTGATTTTGGTGTTCTGTTTTTTAAAGAATTGAGTGATTTGAACATATTTAAACCAAAACCAGACAGTGGATAGGCAGAAGTTGAAGATATAAGAAGACAAGAGAAGATCAATAGTTTAATATCCTTTTTACTGTTTTTATTAGCATGTTATAGTTATGCATAACAGTGGGGGTTAACTGTGACATATTCTCACCTGTATGTAACATAATTTGTTCTTTTTCATTCCATAGTATTTCCCTTTTTCTTCCCCTCCTCTCTCCCCCAATCCCCTTCCCTTTACTTAATTGGTCTTCCCTCTACTTATTAACTTTTTAAAAACTTGGTATATCATAATTATACATAAAAGCAGAATTCAATGTAATATATGCACACATTTACACAGGATAATTCAGTCAATTTCATTCTGCTGTTCCTACACTCTCCTACTCCCTGCAACCTCTTCTACTCTACGGTTCTCACTTCTGTTTTCATGAGATCCCCTTTTTAAATTCCTTATTTCTCTCTAGCTTCCACACAAGATTTGACCCACAACTTTCTGTGTCTGGCTTATGTCATTTGGCATGATGTCCAGTTTCATACATTTTCCAGCAAATGACATAATTTTATTCTTCTTCATGGTGGAGTAGTATATATAAACGAACACACACTCTCTGTATATACACACACACACACACATACACACCTATATACATATTGTGTGTGTACACACGCGCGCGCGCGCACACACACACACACATTATTCATCTGGCAACTGTGAATTGAATTGTGCTGCTATAAACACTGGAATATAAACAGTAATACAGTATGCTGATTTCAGCTCTGGGATAGATTCCAAAAAGTAGAATAACTGGGTATATGGTGGTTCCATTCCAGTCTTTTGAAGAACACCCATACTGATTTCCATAGTGGTGATACTAATCTGCAGTCACACAATGTTTAAGTGTTCCTTTTTCCCCATATCCTCACCAGCATTTATTTATATCCTTGATGTTTACCATTCTAAATGGTGAGATGAAATCTCAGTGTAGTTTTGATTTGCATTTTCCTGATTGTTGAGGATTTGGAACATTTTTTTCAAGTATTTCTTATTCATTTTTATTTCTTCTTTTGAGAAATGTCTGTTTAGTTCATTTGCCTATCTATTGACTGAGACTTTTAAGTTCTTTAAATATTGAAAAAGTAGCTGGCAAAGATTTTCTCCCATGTGAAAAGGAAGGATCTCTTTTCACTTTTTTTTTTTTTTTTTTTGGTATTGGGGATTGAACCCAGGGGCACTTTACCCCACTGAGCTATATACAACCTGAGTCCTTTTTATTCTTTAAGACAGGGTCCCACCAAGTTGTTGAGGTTGGCCTCCAACTTGTGATCCTCTTGCCTCAGCCTCTCAAGTCATTGGGATCATAGGCATTTTTTGCTACGCCCAGCTCTCTTTATACTTATTTCCTTTGCTATTCAGAAGCTTTTTAATTTGATCCACTCCACTTATGATTCTTGGTTTTATTACTCGAGCTTTAGAACTTATTACTAAGGAAGTCACTGCCTAAGCCTATATGTTGGAGTGTTGACCCAATGTTTTCTTCTATCAGTTGAAAAGCTTCTGTGTAGTTCTAAGGGCTTTGATCCATTCTGAGTTGACTTTTGTGCAAGGAGATAGATAGGGGTCACCTTTCATTCTTCTGTATATGGATATCCAGTTTTCTCAGCACCACTTGTTTAAAAAGGCTGTCTCTTTCCTCCAACATTGTTTTTTTAGCTCCTTTGTCAAGGATGAGATGACTGTACCTGTGTGGGTTTGCTTGTGTCTTCTATTCTATTCCACTGATCTTCATATCTCTTTTTATGAAAACACCATGCTGTTTTTATTATAACTCTATAGTATAATTTGAGGTCAGATATTGTGATACCTGCAAGCTTATTCATAGTGCTCAGAATTGTTATGGCTATACTGGGTCTTTTATTAGTCCATATACATTTTAGGACTATTTTCATTCTTGTCCAACTACAACTAAATAAATAAATAAAATTTATAAAAAATAGATATAAATATTATTAAAATATTAGCAATTAGTATTTTAAAACACATAAAGAAGATTGCATTTCATGATCAAGTTGGTCATTCCCAGGATATAAGATTGATTCAACATACACAAATCAATAAATGTAACTCATCACATAAGTAGAATTAAAGACAAAAATCACACGATCAACTTAATAGATTGTGAAGTCAAATTATCTCTACTTGCAAACTCTAGCACTCATTCATGTTAAAAACGCTGAGGAAACTACGGACAGAAATATAAGGCTCTTGAGATAGTGGGAGAGAGTGAGACCTAGAGGATATAAAGAAGGGATGCCTTTAGACAAAAGGATTAAAAATTTTCCAATTCAACAGGAAGGAACACAAGGAAAACAGCAATTGTAGGTAAAGTATAAATATTTGTTAGCAGGAAATTAAGGTAAATCCTATCTGATGGTTTTTATTTTTTCTAAAGTGAAAGACAAAAGTCATCCACTAAGTGAGAAAATGGAAGGGTAAGAAATTTGAAAAGAGTGGAGGTTTAAATAGCTGTCCAGTCAGATTGCTATGGGATATCTATTTCTTGTTTTAATATTATTCCATTACTTTTCTGTATACCCACAATTTATTGTTATCTAAAATGAAATAAATGGGTGATTTTTCTTGTTTTGTTTACAATCATATCAAATTCGATTGTGCAGTTATTACTACCACACTAACAATTACCTATGTTTCTTATTAGCTCTCCTGTTTAAAATGCAAAAGACTCACATATTATCTTACATGATGATTTCATTATGTTTATATAAGTAAGCAATCATTTGGCATTATCCACAAATTTTATCTCCACACACCTAAAAGACATACCATTTGTTTAGAGAATTTTATTCCATATTATTTCCCAACTGCGTGGTACTGTCTGCACAACAGCCTGAACAATTCTCTCTCATCCTCCTGCACTCTGTAATTCAACTCGTGACTTGGTTTTTCCCACCATCAGAAGTAGAATCTATTTCCCAACCCTATCAGCTGAACAAGACTTGCAGTTCCTGCTGGTGTGTGCCTCTTGGAATGTGGTACTGTGACATGAAAAAGCTTAAGCTAGCCTTCTGACAGATGACATCACATATAAAAGCCAGTCAACAATCAGTGCCAACTTGTAGACCAAGAGCAAGGTCATTTTAAACCAGCAAGTCCCAGTTAAGTTATCTGATACCAGCAACCACATAAGGAGCTGTGGGTGTAACCAATGAAAGAACTGTCTCCCTAAGCACAACTTGAAGTGCAAATCCAAAGGTCGAAAGAGAAAAGAAGTTTTAGCATTCTAATATATAGTAAGGAACCCATAGATAATAATAATGTACTGTATATTTTTTTAAAACTAGAAAAAGGAATTGGGAATATTTTCACCACAAAGAAAAGGTGAATATTTGAGGTGATAGATATGTTTACCCTGATATGAATATTAAACACGTATCAAAACATTACATGGTATGCCATATATGTAAAACTATCAGTTAAAAATCAAAAACTAAAAATGCCAGTCAACAGAATTGTTAGGAAATAAAACAACTATTTTAAACCCCAAAGGTTGAAGCAACCTATATTTTAATTTATTTTCCATTTTAAAAATATAGTAAAATTACTGAATATATAAATAGCACAATTCTCTGGGGAATCATACATCACATTTACTTTTAATGTTTATTTTGCAACTAAACTTAAAGCTTCTTTAAAACAAAATTACCAAAGTTATAATGTTGAGGTTCAGTTTTCTATTTATTTAATCACCTAGTATGTACCAGGACCAGAGACAATAACCATATATCAGTCAACAAGAGATAAAAATCCCTACCTTCATTACCTAAGGTATACAATTCATACATTGGGGAGTTATAGATAATCTAATTTCAAAACATTATCTTCTGATATATTAGTATTATAATGATATTCATAGTTTTTCAAGGGAAAAACATAGAAAAAAAATGTATATAGTTATGCCAATAATAACTCTTACCCTCATGCCAAGCACCAAGAACCCAATCTCTTCCATTAATGGGTACTTGCTGACCTGTTGCTGAATCTTCTCAGATGAGGCAAAGGGATCATAGCTTTTTCGCCCGATCTTTACATCCATTATACAGGGCTTATTAAATTTATGGGTCACATCTTCCAGTTTTAGGTATAAATCTGTTATTAAAGAAAAACTTTAATTAGAATAGACAAATTAACTCAAGTAACTGTGAAGAGAAAAACAAAATGAGAAGTTCAGGGCCTGGAGTTGTGGCTCAGCAGTGGAGTGCTCGCCTTGCACATGCGAAGTCCTGGGTTTGACCCTCAGCACCACATAAAAATAAAATAAAGTTATTATACTATAAAGAAATAAGCTGAAATAAATTTAGAGTCCATAATTATTACTCTTCTACCTAAAAAAAAAAAAAGAGTGACCAACAAATTTATAACAAGTATAAATTTCACTGACAAACTCTAGCAGGAGATGAATTTAATACATATTCAACTATAAGCAAAAGGTATAAAGTAGATAATAAGGTTTCCACTAGCATCAAAAAGGCAATAACGGGGACAGGGGTTGTGGTTCAGTGGTGGAGCGCACGTCTAGCATGGATAATGCATTGGGTTCAATCCTCAGCACCACATAAAAATAAATAATGTTTAAAAAAAATCTTAAAAAAAGGGTAATATTATTATTTCAAGAGCTGTCCCAGAATACATTCATACCCCTTTTGAATACTATTTATGGTATCTATGTATTGTTAAGCAAAAAATCTTAGTACTTTAACAATATTTATTTTCCATTTAAAATTAGTAATTGGAGGCAGGCATGGTGGCGCATGCCTGTAATACAAATGACTCCAGAAGCCTAGATGGGAGGATGGCAAATTCAAAGCCACCTCCTAGCAAGGCTCTAAGCAACTCAGCAAGGACCTGTTTCAAAAAATAAAAAACAGTGGGGATGTGAGTTAGTGGTTAAGTGTCCCTGGGTTCAATCCCTGGTACCCCCCACAAAAAAAACATCCAAATGATGGTCATTGCAAATATACATTTCAGTCTTACTAGTTTCAAAGAGAAAACAAATATCTTGCTTTTTAGAATGCAGCATTCCCCAAAAGTTGGTCTGTAAATCACTTTGGCATTCTGCTTGCATGTTCCCACAGAAAACTTAAATGGAGATTCAAGAATAAAATTATAAAAGCCCCAGTTATTATACACAGATGAGCTGCTTACAGTTGGAGTTTGAAAGGAAGGTCCAATGAGGAAAAAAGTATGCAAAGGAAATTTTTTCCCTTTTCCTAGGTAAAATGATATCATGATTCATTTTCATTTATGAATGTACTAACAAGCATTTCTCCTGAAAACTTTTCAAGATAAGGGAAGCTTATATCCTGCTATCTATCAACATAAATAAGGTCATACAAAGAGCCGATTTTCTCAGAATTAAATAAACAGGTACTAGAGGTAAGAGAAGACTTACCCTCTGATGTCCTTTTCTTTGTTCCTGTCTCACCAGGACTAGCAAAGTTATTAAATCACAACATTACATACACACACACACACACACACACACACACACACACACACTATATACAACCTATATACATATACATATATACACGCACATATATATATCCCCCTCCAGCAGAACCAAAACTGAGATAACTTAGTTAAGCCCTTCAGATTTAAAAGGCATACATCTGCCACGTGTGGTGGCACACACTTAATTCCAGAGACTCAGGAAACTGAGGCAGGAAGAACAGGAGTTCAATGTCAGTCTCAGCATCACAGTGAGACCCTGTCTCAAAAAAAAAAAAAAATATCAATAAAAAGTTGGGGATGTTTAAATGGTAAAGTACCCCTGTGATCAATCCTCAGTAACACAGGTGGGGAAAAAAAGAGGGAGAAAGATCTTCTTCCTCAAGAGAAAAATGTTCTCCCTTAGACAAAGGAATACGGGAGGAAGGTTATGACTATACCCAAGTTAGGCCCAATATGACAAAAGAGCAAATGTAACCCATGAGAGCAGCACCAACTGTATAAGAAGGAGCCCTTCACACTTCTGACATCTTCAACAGGATAAGAAAAAACAAAAGGTCTGGACACAAACATAACAAGTGTAGGCAGTAAACATGGGACAAGTGGAATGTCTTGATAAAGGAGCTGGAACACAGTCAAGTTTCTATACTTTTAAAAGACAACCAAGTGATGTAGAAGAAGATACGCAGTGTCCTTCAGTCTTTCCTACCATCTCCAATCAAGCAAAAGAGGAAACGGATCCTTCTTCTCTATTTATATATATAGTTGTATAAGAACTTCAGTACCATGGCTTCGATTCCAAATATCAGAAAAGATTAAAGATTCTGTTATGGTAGATCCTTCACATTCAAATTATCCTCATTGATTTGGAGACAAAAGAACCCAAAAATCTTACTAAGACAAGGCTGTCCATGGGAGTAGAAATGCAGCAGGAAAACCCCACATCTATATCTCAGTATAAGGTTATTTTCCCCTTGTTGATTTGGTGATTAAAAACAAGCTGTTTCTTTTTTTATTGGTCCTTTTTAGTTATAATATATAACAGTAGAATTCATCTTGATATAATTATATAAGCATGGAATATCTTATTCTAATTAGGACCCCATTCTTGTAGATGAACACGATGGTGAGACTCACTGTGGTATATTCCTATATGTGAATAGGAAAGTTATACCAGTTTCATTCCACTGTCTTTCCTTTTCCTATCCTCCCTCCCTTCCCCTCATTCCCCTTTGTCTTATCTACTGAACTTTTTTCTATTCCCACACCCCCCACACATTGTAGGTTAGCTTCTATATACCAGCTAAAACACTCAATCTTTGTTTTGGGGTTTTTTTTTTTGGGGGGGGGGGATTGGCTTATGTCACTTAGCACAATAGTCTCCGTATCCATCCACTTACTGGTAAATGTCACAAAGCCATTCTTCTTAATGGTTGAGTAATACTCCATTGTGTATAGGTACCACATTTTCTTTATTCATTCATCTGTCATTGTTTATGATAAAATAGAACTGATAGAAGCTGGGATAGAGACTTTGCAAGTCTGAATATAAAGATCCCTATTTTTTCTCTCTTTTTGGAAAGGAGGAAATTATAAATGTAAACTACTTATAGTATAAATATAATACTTTGCTGAATTATGAGTGTTTACCCTTTCCAATCCTACTTCCCAGTGGGAGTTTAGACTTGGCCCTCCTTTCTCACTCTATGAGAGAGTCATTTCTTCTGTAAATAGAGATGAGTGCAACGGATTTTATTTGATTTTTATTTTCACTAGCTCAATTCACTTTACTTTCAGGTTCTTGATGTAACTTTATGATTGAAATGATCAAATAATTGCTACATTAATTATTACTAGCTTTCAGAAATAAAAACCTAAAGTTAAGGCCTACTGAGGGTTGGTTTGGTGTTTTGTTTTAGTTCTCTGAACTCAATTTTCTCTAAATAAAAATAAGAACTTGAGATTCTCATATCATTTTTTCTAAATTATTAAAAGTAAACACCAAAAGATGCTTTAAAGATACAGAGTTCTTAGGAAAGAAATGTTGTTATGAATTCCAAGTAAGCTTCTGAAGAAGGTAAGCAGGAAAAAAACTGGGACATGATCTGAACACTGAGATTGTTACTGTTTTTTTATAATCTGTCATCTGTATATAAATCTGAGTATTAATTCACTCTGAAAAATGCTACTAGTAAATTCTTTCCACAGAACACAGCTTAATTCAAAGTAGGTCAATCTGGAGATTCAGTTACTTATATGATCAAAGGCATTTTCTACAGACGGCTTCATAAGGTAATGCTACAGACTGGATAACAAAGGGCACTTTTTCAGCTAGGCCCCTCTGGGGGTAGAATGGAGCAGTACTTTTCCATTTGTAGGTCACTACCCATTATTTCAACTTAATAGATGAAAGAATGAGAAAATATGAGACTGTATTATATAACCTAAGACTAAATATTGTTATGGGGTTGGTTTCAATCTTAGAAACACTGTATTACTTGCCACAGGCAAAGAATTTTTACAACACTCAATTTGACTAAATAGAATGTCACTGGGTATTACAGTGATGGCTCAAGAGCTATCCACAGACCCTCAGAAGTGATTTGTTTGCAGTCATTGTCACACTTTGGAATTCACTGAGGAAGGAGTGAATCTGACACAACCTTGGCCAGTCTTACCAATTTAGAACAGGGATTCAGAAAAAAAAAACCTGTTGGTGACATCTCTGAGTCTACTTGAGGAGCTAGCACAAGATCCCCAAGGAGAGAAGAGGAACGATTAAGAAAACTACAGAGAGAGATTGTCCTGGGCTTTTATACAATTTGATTTCTAATTCTGGCCCCATCTTGGGCTCAGATATGTAACTCTTGGCTTTCATAAGATACCCCTGTATCCTTATAAATAAAGTCTCCCTTTTTGTTTAATCAAGTTCATTTCTAGAACTTACATCTAAAGAATTTTTTTTAAAGAAAGAGAGAATTTTTAATATTTATTTTTTAGTTCTCGGTGGACACAACATCTTTGTTGGTATGTGGTGCTGAGGATTGAACCCGGGCCGCACGCATGCCAGGCGAGCGCGCTACCGCTTGAGCCACATCCCCAGCCCACATCTAAAGAATTTTAACCAAAATGATAAAGTTTAAAGCAATTACTTTGGAAGCACAGAAATAAGTTCAGATCTCAACTCTACCATGTATTATTCTGTGACCTCAGTAGCACTTCTCTATACCTCAAATATATATAAAATGGAAATAATTTTAGAATCTACCACAGAGATATCACAAAGATTAAATGAGATACTGTATGGCGCAGTGTCAATACTAGGTCCACAAATGAAGGTTACAACATTCCTTTACTTCAAAAGTAAAATTGCATATACTCTACATATAATTACCACACAAGGTACTGTTCTGGGATATACAGGTAAACAAAACAGGTAAAATCCTTGTCTTTACAGAGCTACTTTTTAAGAGTATAAACAGCATTTTATTTAGCATAATGCCTGGTGCATATCTGATACTAACTGAACACTTATTAACTTTACCTATAAGTATATATAAATATTAAACATGTATAGCATTGATAAATATTAAAATCTGCCAACTAGATTAGACCAACAATGAGATTCAGGTCAAACT